ATTTTCCACTGCCACAAGGACAGCTAACTGTCTTGGGAATTAAACCTCAGATAGAGGCATTAGACTACCTTTTCCACATCCCAGCCATGAATCCTGGCATTGAGCATGATGAAAACCCACATCATTCTGTGATCCAGCATAAGCAGACAAATCCCCAGTAACACTGTGATGGACTTGTAGATATTAGTAGAAAAACAAAACCTAGGGAAACAAGCTCTGACAAGAACCAGAGATGTGACAGAACAGCAAAAACAATGGGAAGTTGGATGAGACTTCCTCAAATTCAGTGTGAGACAGACTACTCAAAGAGCTGCAGGGTTTGGACTGTCTTTGTTATTCAATGCTGACATCTGCTCATGGCTCACTGTGCAGAGGTGAGGAAAGATTCTCTTCTACCAAGAGAGACGGGTGGAAGAGACTGTTTTCTCCCATCTGTGAAATTCAGTTCTACTTCTGGAACCTGGAAGAGTGTGTTTGCTGAACCTGATTAGAAGACCCTTGTCTTGCTTGCTGTTATGATTTAAAGTGGACTGAAGGTATTTTCTAGTCAATCTGTAGAGTAAGAAAAAACTACATTAAAATTAATTGATACAAACAAATTCTCTTTCATAAGTAGCAAAATATTCAGAGACTATTTCAGACCTGAGTCCATCAATAAAACCATTGGCTATACCTGTGCAAATGAAATAAGGAGGGCAAGGATGCCAGCTTTATCATTTGATCATCCATGCAGTGTAATTGCTAATATTCTCCCTGGCATAGTTTTGAGCTCAGACAATGCCTGGGCACAGCTTGGAGTCAGCACAGGCTAGGGACTATTCTCAGGAGGCAGTGAATGTTCTTTGTTTTGGGGAGTGAAGACAGTTTAATCATATAAACATAAGCCTGCTGAACCACTTGCCTGCAGGAGCAGAGGAGGCACATGGATGTAGCTAAGTTCAAAAGAGGTCCACAGTTCTGGCTTTCCTTTGATGACAGGGACTAGAGGCTAAAAATTTACTCTGTGAAAACCTGCTAGAGCTTATGAAGCATCTATTTCCCACCAAAACAAGCCCTCATAAAGAGTCCCTTTAAAGGTGACCTTGCAGAGAGCAGGCAGCTAAATTATCTAATCACAGGAGGCAGTGTCTGGCATGTCTAATGTTATTTTCTCATGGTCAGCATACCTATGAGAAATTCAGTGCCATGAGTAAGAAGGGAGGAAGAGGAAGACTGGGTAGGTCAGGTGAAGTCTTGAAATCCCCTAAAGCCAAGAAACTCAGAGCAGTCCACAGTAAGCTTAGGAATTTGTAAGGAACTTAGTGTCATAGGTGTTGGTCTGACTAGTTCTTTTCTAGATTATTGATGAGAAGAAAGAGGAGCCACTCTCTGTTCCTGAACTGTGCTCCTCAGGATGTGTTCAACACCACAAAAGTACCTCTGAATACTCCACTAATCCTTAAGGCATTTTGAACAATTCAAGTAAGATCACTTCCAGATGTATGAGTCACAACCTAAGAACACTTTTTCCACTCTGAGGAGGAATAACAAGGAAAAGAAGTCTGAAAATGAGACACTTGGGGTTCAAGTCAAAACAAAGATATGCATCAGGAAGTTATTTTCATAAGCTCTATGTGTAACGCCTTTACAGGTGAATATTTTCTGGGTATACAGTCTACTGTTTGGCAAACGCAGGAATTCTATCTCACTGCAGAATATGTCCCTTAGACAATGTATAGCTGATGACTGTCTGTAGCACCTAAACCCATAAGGTGGAAGAGACATTCAGCAAAATATGAACTTAAAAAAATGCTGTTGAAGATGTATTATCTTGCTCCTATAAGGCAAGAAAAAAAGAAAATTAAGTGTAAGTGAAGAAAAACCAACACCAAGTTTGAAATTATAACTCAAAATTCAAGCAAAAAAATAACCCCGAGGAGCATATTCTGATTTAGTTCTAAGGAAAGATGGGAAGCTGGGTACACTCTGCTATTTTTTTACACTACACAAGCAGTATTTTGAGGGTGCCCTTGGGCACCCACAGGATGTCTATGCCTAGCACTTCAAGGACAACAGTATTTGTTCCTAAATGCAGTTATTGAGAATTCTGTTATTCAGTGAAATTACGTAAGTACTCAATATGGCTTTAAGCAGTATTATGGAGCCTTGAAAATGTTCTCTTCATGGAGTCAGAAATCTCCAAAAATCCAGGAAATCTCACTAAAAATTACTACTGGACACAGCATTGATGTCACTGACACATGTGGCATGCCGGGTACCTTTTAAGTATATTCAGATTTGTCAGCAAACAATGGCAAACCAGGGGAAGGAGACTTTTGAAGACAGTTAGTTATATTTACTGTTACACTGCAGTGTATGTGTGTACAGCACTCTGCCAAGCAAGATATACTTTTTACTGACCTACTTGTGTTCCAATTTATTGCTAGTGACAGCTGTTGTCAATGATCTGGAGAAAATAAATTGAGATTACAATAAAGAGACACTGACTGGTCAAAAAAATTAGTTGTTGTTTTAAATCAAATAGAAGGGATTTAGTATCTTTAAAACTTTAGAGTCTGATTAAAATTAAGACTTTAAAGCCATGGCTGGATTACAGTAATTCAGAACTTCATGGATTATGAGATGAAATACTTCATAGGCATCATTTACGATGAATGCTGCCATTAGGATTACTACATAATTTTGACCTACTGTATTGCATTCCTTCAAATCCTCTGCTGTGGTGCTATACAAATTTGAAAGGCACTGGCTGCCATATTTAATTTGATCCTTCTAACATGTGAGTCAAATTTGTTGACATTTAACATTTGCAGCCAGTCTAATCTGCTGTATTTCAGTGACTGCTCTGTACAGGATTTTCAGAATGAAGATCCAGTGTAGCTGGTATTCTGGTGGTGTATCCCAGCTACAAGATGACAGCTGTAGTACTTGACAGGCTCCCTCCTCTTGTTAGCACAACTGACATTTAACCGTTTCTGGCTTTTTAGGCCAAATTAGAACATATTTGCTTCTGTGTTTTACCTTTTTTTTGCCGTTTTAAACTTTGTTTTAGTGGTCTACAAGTTGCTTGGGGATATTTTACATGGAAGGCACTACACATGAACAGTTTAATTGTATCTCTCTCTGGAAAGATGAAAATGTTTTATTTGAGATGCTTGCCAGAGGAATCACTTGTAACACTAATGGAGAAAGCTGGTGATAAAAGCCTTAGATGATAGAGACGGTGACCAAAGCAGATCTCCTATGACTATATCCTAGGGGAAAACCAAAATAAACCAGTTCCCCTTTATTTTTTTATTTTTTTGGCAGCAGCTTCAGGGAAAATCAGATGAAGACACAATAGTTTTGTTGTAGCTGTTTCTATTTTTTTTTCTAATCCTACAATTTTGACTTTTATCGGACACTCTGACACCTTTCTGCCTTGTATGTACATGTTTAAACGGCAAAAACAATTGAGCAGCTGCAAGTAAATTATAGATGATAGAGTATTTTAAGAGATATGAAGAGTTAAGTAGTACTTATAAAGAGTTTCATGTTTCCTCGATGGAGATTGTTGAATAAGTGTACCAAGAGAGTTAAAAACATGGAGGGAAGTGGAGAAAGAGGGTGAATAAGGATATATACACAGGAGAGTTTTCTCCGAAAGAGGCAGAAAAACTGATTGCATTTATTCAGTTACATCTGCTTATGACTGCCATGAATATGCACAAAAATTAATCTCACCAGTCCTCTTTTCTTGACATACAAACCAGATACATCCTTTTGAAGTCCACAGGAATTATTTATACCTTTTGGTAGGAAATATGTTTTCTTTTTATGAGAGGTTGCTGTTTCTCTAGTTAACCTTGAGACCAGATAGTGTGAACAAGCATAACAAAAACAGTAATAATAATAATAATAATAATAATAAAATTAAAAATCACAATTTTGGTAGAAAGCAGTTCCTTAGGAAATCAGGTTGTTTGTTATCCCAGGGTTTCCTTTGGTACAAAGGAGTTTGAGATGTCATGGGTAAAAGTCTGGAAATATTAAAAATATGTCAAGGTGACACAGCTCAGAGCTTTAGGCAGTTTGAGGCATACCTTGAACAGAACCTCTTCTACACTACCCAGAAACAAATATCAATATTTGCATGCCATAGCATTAACAGTCAAAAAGAAACTGGGTTTTCTCTCTCCCACATCTAGATACTAGGATTTCAATCTTCAGTTTCACCATTATATTCACTAAATAATACTATGTACTAAACGACCTTGGGGACAAACCAACTTTTTTCCTTTACCAAAAATAATGACAATTACAAGCTTAAATTATTTTAAGAAGAAGGATATGTGAAGAATGAAGTGGAAGTGGGGAGGGCCAGGTATCCCTCCAGATACTCAGGCTAACCATTGCTGCTTCCTGTTGCCCCTGCCTTTGTGATACCTTGAGCTGAGCAGAAGTAGCCATGACAGCAGCAGCTGTCAAGGCTCAGGGAGGCCGGGATATCTCCAACCTCAGGCTTGCCCTGCTCACTTTGCTTGGGTGTTGTGGGACTGGACTGGTGCCAGCTGCATCCTGGCTCTTGGCTCCCTGTCCTTTAGGGAACAGCCAGTCCTCACTGCTCCCAGATGATCAGGGACTTTTGATAAGGGCTTGCAGTGACAGGACAAGTGGGAGTGACTCAAAATGAAAGATGGTAGTTTTAGATTAGCTGTTAGGAAGAAATTTTTTACTGTGAGGTTAAGTATGGGAACAGATTACCCAGAGAAATTGTGGAGTTACCCATACCTGTAAGTGCTCCAGGACAGGTTGAGTGGGGCTTGGAGCAACCTGGTTTAGTGGGTGTCAGCCCTTCCCACAGAGTGGAATTGGCACTCAGTGATCTGTAAGGTACCTTTAAACTCAAACCATTCTATGACTCCATGATTCTAGCAATGTCTCAGATCCCATTGGACAAATTGTATTTTTCTCTCTTTAAATACCATTGTTTTCTTTATTTTAAAGTCATATGTACTCACATATCATCAAAGATAAGCTTTGTTCTTCTGCAGTCCCTGGGTGTGGTGGATAGAGGTGGCCAAGGCTCTGTTTGGAACTGTGGCTTATTGCAGAGAAGAATATTTTCTGAATTGATGTGAATTGCTTTCTAGACAACAAACAGTAGATAAGACATTTAGGAATTGGCTAATAACTTAAAAAAAAACCCAAGTAACAAAAACCAGAGAGTCTTTGCATTGTGATGTATACTGAAAGTTAATTTTCCTGCTATCTCAGCAGAGAGTATGTGTAAGTGTCCTGACACTGATGGCCACAAAGTCACAGATACTGCTCAAAGCACTTTGTAAAGGGTTTGAGTTTCAATATGATAAACAGCATAAACTGGGCTAAACTCTTAGTAACTATTAAAGTACTCTGAAACACAGAAAGTGAAATTATTAAAGAATAGATCTGTTGTCATTTAGAAGATTAAGTTATACCTCTTGCCTTCAGCTTCCAACCAAGCATAGTACCTTGCTTAGGAGAGCACAGCTCATATTTGACGTGTTTCACGCTACACTGGTGATGTGCCTGTGCTGTATGAATTTGTAGTCCAGGTTTCTTTGTGCTCCAGAGCTCCCCTAATCAGCTTGTAAGACCTCTTCTCTGTGCTGCAGTGGAAGCACATGTCTTTTGGCAGGGTCTCATGCACTCCCTCAGCTGCAGCCCTGTTCTTCCTGTGGCCTCCTGAGCACCTTCATCCCACCAAGTGACCTGCTGTGGGGGCTACTGTGCACTGGTATGGAGCAAAACAGAGGGCTCCAGGTGGTTTTTGTTTGATAACCAAAAAATGCTGTTCCAATGTCAGATGACAGGCAGAAAGGCACCAGGGACATGGGAAAAAAGTTCAAATGGATAAATGCCCACTGTGGATAAGCTTTGAGTGCAGTTTCTCACTTGGGCCTGCCAGTTGGGTGCCAGATGAGAAGATGGAATAAAACAGAGCAAAGTTTAACATTTATAGTTCATGAGCTCTCATCTTCTATATGGCGCATCCAGATCAGCTCATCAGGCTAAAGTTTTCAGATGAATAACCAGATACATAAGAATTTTATTGCAAAGGTTGTTAAATGTTGACCAAATGGTGCATTGCTAGGCTATGCAGAAAATCTCAGTGAAATCCATTTGCTAAGGGTGTGGATCATAAAGCAATCACCTTTTACTTTTGATTTCCAGCACATTTGCGTGAGAATGAATTTAAATTGTTTTCAAGATACCCAGTGAAGAATCATAATTATAATTCTGAATGGGTTATAAACTTCTAAAATTTATGTTTTGGAAATTAAAATGTTTAAAATTTTACATTTAATTAATGAAAAATAAAGTAATAACTATAATATGTTAAAGGACTTTTTACTGGAATATTTTATGTAATTGGGTTCTTTTTCAATTTACCAAAAGCATCTGTGAGATATTCTTGGAAAACACAATTTTTGCTAACCTGTTTTTGAAAACATGTCCAAAATTAAGATTATATCTACTAGTTCCTCCTTTGCTCTCAAAAAAAAAAAAAAAAAGTATAAACATATATGCTTAACAGATACAAGGAGGCCACTTATCCCCACAGCAAAAATTGCTGGAAGAGGCCACTGCTACCATTCAGATAGCTTGTTTTCCTAGTTGCTTAGGCATTAATACTTAGGGTTTTGAAGCCTCTTTTGCATCAAATAACAAACACAGAAAATAGATAAAGAATAAAAAACGTTAATAACATTTGTAGCAAGGAGAGGAGCATGGGCAGCAGAGTGTCTTAACAGCTTCTCTAGATGCTACAGCATTGGGCATCAAGATGATGGTATCCAAATTGTTTCTTCTAGGTATTTCACATAATGCAGAACAGTGTCATAGGCAGGAGGTGACGGTAGTCTGCCCTTGACCATCTGCTCACAGTGTCTGTAGGCTAGAGGGTAGGGTATGATTTTGAAAGATGAGATGAGAGATGGAAATTCCTCCAATTAAAAGAGCTAACAGGCTCTTCACTCCAGTATTCTAATCACAGAACTCATGAAGAAATGGGGGAAGCATCTACTCTCTCTCTGCTCTGAAGGCAGAGGCCACAATGCAGTGCTGTAGTACAGCCTTATCTGGAAGAGCACTCTGGGCACACTTAGTGGGAGCAAGACTCTCTTATGAGGATATGAATACAACTCTGATGGAACTCAGTTGTGAGGCTGGTGCTAAGATGTCACAAGTATAAGTAGAACCTTATGAAGTTTGTTCTAAGACAGAAGAATTTGTAGGCACACCCATGGTTAGGCAGTGGCTGAGTGAGCCCTTATACAGTAGGGCCTTATGCTTATGAATAGGGGGCTTGCATCATGCCCAAGCGATGCTCTGGAGGCCTAAAGCCATTTGTTTTGGACTATTAGCTTTTACCTTTTGCTTATGTAGCCTTTGCTATTTGCTTGTTTTACAGCCTGCCCTCTTTCCTTTCTTCTATGCCTTGCTAAACTCCAAACCAGAAAAGCTGAACTTAGAAAATAACATTCATTATTACAACTTTTTTATTTTTTTGCATAATATTCTGCAAAACTATCACGGACTGCAATACAAAGTGGAAAATATACTGCTAAGCTTTATATTGTGAAAAACAGCACACACTTACATTGAGGTCCCCAGGATGTGGCTGTGACTGGATTTCACCCTTATGTTTTTTGCTGGAGGAGATTGAAGGTAATAGACTGCTGCCATTAGGTCTGCTGGAGGAAGTTAAATCATCGTTGGAATATTTGTGTTTTGATGCATCAGAGAGGGGAGAGACGGGTGACCGAAGCATTTTCTCATTTTTATTTATTGGTATTGCCAAGCTGGAAATGGAAATTACAGTAATGGAGTGTCACAAAGCTGGCTTTGAGAAAGGTAAATGTTTTATATATTACCAAAACTTCGAATTTAAAACCTGCTGGCAGGATAAAGTCTATTGGTATCTGGAAACGAGCTTACAGTATTGGGACCAAGAGTTCATTTACAAATTTGTATCATGTTTCTTCTCTTTCCCTTCAAGGCAAATTGTCATTCTGGAGTTAATATAAAGTCTGTATCAGAGTACTTGAAAAAAAATACAGAGATAAATGGCTACTTGCTCACCATTTCTTAAGGGATAGCTGGAGATGAAGATTAGGCTCTGAAGTGTAAGTTCAGGTTATGGAGCCCTATTTCACCATTACAGGTGACAATTTATAAGCCATGGCAATAAAACCATATGTGAACTAAAACAGGAAATGGGTTTAAAGATGACTGGCTTGTCTTTGTGCTCAGTGCCCAGCCTTTGGTAGCAGTGTTTATACTAATCAAATACAGATTTTGAAGACAAAGAAAGATAGGCTGATAATGCAGACAAAAGGAAACATATGCAAACAGTAGACACAGAGAAATGTGAGCTGCTCTATCTTCTAAAGCAGAAAGCTGTAATACAGACAGTATTTTCAGCTTTCATTTACTTGGGAGAAGTTTTGGATGAGAAATCAGACACCATATAAATATGCCCAGAAATAAACCTCAGATACAATCATTTGAAGAAAATATTTAGCTGAAAAACTTAAAACAACACCCAAAAATTGCAAGTTTTTTTAAGAAGATAGTTGGAATTAAGACTAAAACTGTGATTAAGGTCAGAAAGACAATTTTAATACTATACCTTTCCCTGTCACATTCCCCTTTATTCAGCCTATTAGTTTTTATGGACAATTCTCACTTCTTTATAGAAGTGTATCAGGCAGTATACACTTAATGGAATCACAAAAAAGAATACAGTAAAAACTATACTTCATTTCTGCACATAATTTCAGGGAACAGAGCTAATTAAATGTGCTCTTATCATACATTTGTCCATTTATCTGACAAGTCTTTAAAAAGTAGCTGTAAAAGAAGCCATTAATTGTAATTCAGAACCTTTACTGTTTCACATGGCATAGTACCTTTAAAACACCATGTCAACTGTTTTGCTTTAATGACCAATTGGTGTTTACAAAAGCAAGACTCAGAGTGTGAAAGATAGACAACTGTGCCCTTCTTCTCCCCCTAAGAAAAACAAACTCTTTAGCACTATTTTGAATGTGCAGGCTGATGCTGTCATTTCTTTTCCTCTTTCCAAACACAAATCCATGCTTTGGCAACCCATGTTTATACATCACTGTCAAAGTGTGGGCCCAAAGCATCCAAGGGAAGCCATGGCTCTTTGGAAGTATACCCAACCCTCAAAAGCTTAGCTCTGAACTTGTGAGGAGTAGCTGAAATTTCTACTTGTGCTGCACAACTTCTACATGGCCTTTGGTCACGAAGTAGGGCCCACCTAAACAGTGTGAGCAGGCAAAGTGCAGCAGCACATGTTATACTGAGAGGCCATGCAGGACAACTTGCAGCAGAGGACTGTCAGAGCTGTGATCTGCTGGAAATGAGCAGACTGTGGATCTGATATTGGTGCAAGATACCTGGGTATTTCTGAGCCTGCAGCCCTTCCTGTCAAAAAGGACATTACTTAGTCTGCCTTCCAGACTGTAATTCCACAAATAGAAAATGTTTATGGCTAAAGGTGGTCTTGCTCCTCTCATTGCTACCAGCCCTCAGCTGTGCTGCCAAAACTGTCTGGGTGGCTTTACTGGGAGATGAATACTACTCCTCTGTCAAACAAAATACCCAAAACTAAAGAAGGAAAAAGAAAGATAAAATAGAAAAAGAAAAAGGGTAAGTAAAAGAGACAGAAGGAGAAAAATAAAAAAAGAAAAGGAAAAGAGGAAAAGCAAAAGAAGAAAAAGAAGAAGAAAATTAAGAAGAAGGAAAAGGTAAAGAAGAAGGAAAAGGATAAGGATAAGGAAAGAAGAAATAGTTTTGGTTTCAAACAAGTTTCTTGAGTATATTTACAGGTGAACCTCAGAGGCATGGTATAACTGGAGAGGGGATGTGCCAGCATGAGCAGATGTTGGTTGCAAGAGGACCAGGAGGTCCTGATATCTGCCCTGCTGGTTTAGCTACAGCCTCCGTAGCTCTTCCTCAGCTGTGGGAATACCAGCATTTGATATCATGTCCTGCAGCACGGCACAAACCACAGGAACACCTTGGAAGCAGAGCAAACCAGGAGGCAACTGTAGGAACTAGGAAGCAACTGTACATTTCAGAAACTCTTTGTTCCTCTAACACACAATTGCTACTGATGTACTGAATATAATGTTAAGAAAAACACAAATTATTGTCTTGCTTCCAGGAAGCACAGAATTAACTCTGTAACACAGCAAGCTATGTCAGCCATGCTACTCTCTGAAAATTAAAGCAACATAAAACATATGACACTGGGGTAACAGGAACAGCATGTCTGCATGCAGCCACACAAAAGAAAGGAATTGTTCTGGGCATTGTTTTCACTTTATGAAACGTATATGACATGTCAGAACAAAGAAATTGAATGCATATTTTTTAATAAACACTATATATATCAGTTTTCTTAATGATTTCTTCTCTTATTAATGACAATCTCATAAAAAATGTGTACAATAGCAAAGCCGACTACAATAAATGCAAATATTTTCTTATTTTGTAGCAGTTTCATGCCAAGAAGTACCCTGATACTACCAGAAAAATAATTAAAAAAACCAAACCTGATAGCCAGCATGTACCAAGCAGCATGCAGCTGAACTCTGAAACTGTGCATGTCTAAGTTTGACTGCTGGAAGCCCCCAGAGAAACTCAAGTGTGATTGCTCTGACATTGATAGGGCTCTGTGTGCATAAACCATGCCAGTGAATGCTAAATATTCATCTTTTGTTTCATGCCCTATATCCTCTGAAAATCTCACTTTTAAAAAAGTCTTAAATTCCTTGTCCTGGAGTTCTTACTAATTACACAGAATGGAATGCTTGTAATCTCAAAAATACTGATTCTCAGATATATTCTGGAGCTGAGTATTGCAGGCATTTTTATGAATATTTTTTTCAATCTTTTCCACAGAGCTGATACATAATTCTATTTATACAGTCAAACATAAAGCTTGAAACTTGTAAGTAAAGAAATTAAAGAAAATATAAGTAAAGAAAGGGATACAGGATGGTTGTATATGTGAATTGCTGCCTACAACACAGTGTTAGGGAAGATGTCCTGGACAATCACACTGCTCTGGCTATAATTACTTGTTCCATGAACCTCATACTTGAGCTCACAACTTCTTTGTGCAACAGGGCAAAAATGCAAGTACATGAATGTGTCAGGAGCTACCAATTTAATCATTAAAGCAGAAGAACAGAGACTGCAGCAGTTAAATTTTCAACATAAAATGCAATAATTAAAAAATAAATCCTACTAAAGGAAAAAGTAACACCTGTCAATAAACTGAAACTAGTTGTATGATTCAGTGGTAACTAAGAAGGAAAAAGCTTACCTATTTTCATTTATATTGCAGTGATTTGCTGTTGTGATGCTTTGGGCAGAGGCAGCTAAACGTGAAGAACTCTCCCGCTCTAAGTGAGTCTTCTTGTTGTCTCTGCACTCTTCCTCATTCTCACACTGAGTGAAGAAAAAAGTAATATTTTTTTATGGTTTGGATTTACTACAGATCCAAAAATCTTTCAGTAAGTCAGGGACTGGTATTTTGTGTCATTTTGTTACAAATGATGATACTTTGTTTGAGTATATGGCTAACATGGATCAGAGACGATTGGTCCATGTCTTAAAAAATAAAATCTCAAGAGGCAGCATGTAAAGAGATGGGTACAATATAAAACTTGGTTTCCACCATTTCCCCACTTGAACCAGGGTTGCCACTTTTCAGGTACTAATAAAACAAGAATGAAAAAATTAAGAAAGATAAAACAATATGGAAGACTGCTTTAGATAAATGGTACTCAAAAAATATACAGATCCATCTGCACACATACAGTAGCTTAGAGGGCAACAGAAAACTGTTCGGAAATTGAGCAGATGATGATTCCAGTTCAGAATGACTTTTGAGGTCAGATCAGTACAAACAGACCAGAAAGACTGTACGGTGTACAGCTTTGGCCATTGAGCGGAGGGGGCCTTCCCCTTGGCAACAGAAAGTAAGTGGGAGAAGCAGGGCAGAAGGGTGGATGTGAGCAGAGGGCTGTGCCCACCCAAGCACTGTGACAGTGTTGCTGAGGAGGGGCCAGCTAACAGACTATGGTCCTACACTTATAGCCCCAAGGGCAAATGGGGCCACCAGGGTGTGAGGAAGCCAGGATCCAACATCCAGAAAGAGTCAGGTCCCAGGTCTCTGCGAATGCATCCCTAACAAAGCCAGGGCTCCCTGCTGTGCCTGAAGGGCTTGCCTCTTGCTGACAGTCAGAAGGGAAAGAAGATCCTGCCTCTTTTACCATACATGCAGTGATACTGTGTCGGCTACGACAAGGCAGCAGACAGTTGGACCTTCGCTGACCTGAGCGTCATTTCCAAATACTCAGGTTTTGAGAGAAGCCTCAGGAGATAAAATTATGCTACTATAAAGGCAGTGCCTTCGCTAAGGCACGCAAAGGCACGCGCACAGCAGTCAACGCTGTCTCCAAGGAGCTGTGATCCCTCGAGGCCAGGAATTTCATCACCTTCAGGGCTGGCATTTCCTCAGGAGTTTGGCCACTCCCTACGTGGAAAGCAGGGACAAATCCCAGCTCTGAAAGGCCAGCCTGGAGAAGATGTTGCCATCGAGCACTGGACGTGGGTGCAAGCGGTGTTAGCCTCCCACTTGCTGGAGGCTCCCCTACCCCCTGTGATCGGCTCCCCAGCAGCTCACCTTGCGTTTCCTTCTAGATTTCGGTAAACCCTTCTCTGCGGGGGGTTCAGCACTACTACCCTGCGGGAAGCTGGCCGCCTGGTTTGCTCCGGCGCTCATGGCCAGCGGTTCTTCGGGCAAACGCTCTGGAATCCTGGACAAAAGAGCCAAGTCAATGTTGACCCACAGCGACTTTACCTCATCACTGTCTTTCAGAGGAGACAGGAGCTCATTCCTACCGAAAGGAACCAGGGTGTAAAACTGTTCCTCCAGCTCCTTTGCTATTTCACTACTAGTCCTGGCATTAATAGAGCCAAAGGCACTGCAGCCGCCGTGGGGTTTGCTGGCGGGGCCGGTCCCCGCGTCCTTGGCACCCCGCGGCTCAGGCCCGGCTGCCGCTGGCGCCTTGGGCAGCGGGCGCTCCTCCCGCTCCGACTCAGAGCCCGAGTCGGAGGAGGATGATGAGGACGAAGACTCGGTCTCGATGAACTCCTTGGATTTGGGCGCCGTTTTGCTCGGCCCTCGGGCCCGGCGCTTCTCACCAGCTGCAGCTGAGCGGGGCTCGCGGCGGTGCCCCGCTCTGCAGCCGCCGGCGGGCCGGGCCCTGGGCGCCTCGCCGGCAGCGCTGTCGGGGAAGCCGTGGCTCCGGGGCAGCTCCTCTGCGCTGGGGCAGGGCGGCCCGTCTCCGGCCGAGCTCCTCTCGGCGCGCCGCGGCGCCTTCTTCCCTGCCGCCCGCCTCGGCGGCCCGCCGTCGGCAGCGAGGGGTGACTTCTGCCGGCTGCCCTTGCTGCCCGGCGCTTTGCTGGCGGTCCTGGGCCGCGGCCCGTCCCCCGCGGCGGCGGCGCTGGCGGCGGTGCGGCTCTCCTCGCTGCGGTGCTCGGCCGGGCCCTCAGCCGGGGTCTTCTGTCCTTCCTGCCGCTCTGCCTTCACCCGGCCGTAGTAGGGATGGGCTTCCAGCGCCGGGCCATCGTGGTGGGCTAGGATGGGTGCTTTGTGAGGGGTAACTTTGTTCAGCCACTTGTCCAGCTGCCACTTGTTGGACGAGGGCGGCTCGGGCTGAAAGGGAAACAGATGGCAACGAGCTTAGTGCCGAGGCCCTGCTGCCCCCGCCCCGGGGATCCCTCTGGGACGGAGGGACGCCGCATCCCTCCGGGCACCGCGGAGATTTCCCTTCGGTCCAAGAGCCGCCCCACCCTATAGCAACCCCTTGGCACTGGCCCTGCGTCGCAGGACAGGGCTCGTGCTTTGCAAGCGGGGATGTTTTTGGTGTCAGAATGGGGTTTGAAGATGAGAAGGAGAAGGGCTTCTGTGATGCATAATTTCCAAGGGTGATTCACAACAGCAGTACTGCCATTGGCTCTACTAGGAAACACTTCCAAGTTTCCAAATAGAAAAAAATGCAATGGTAATAGGAAGGGAGGAAAACAACGCAGGGTATAGCTGAGGGTATAGCAGGGTGTAGCTGAGGTATAGCTAGGGGAGGATTGCTATCAGGAAAGCTAGGGATGTGTATTTTGCGTCCTGTGCCATTGTAGTAAATACAGAAAGCATTTAAGAAGCATACAGAGTGGCATGAGGTAGGGAGTTGGAGGGCTAACCAGGCGCTTCATATAACCTGATTAGTATTGACATTTTAATCCACAAATATTTGTTGTGTCGTGGTGCTGTCAAGGGTTCATTTTGTGAGCATTGTGTGCCTGTTAGTTTTTCTTTTAATGTCTATCACAACACTATCAAGTTATAAGTGTGCATCTAAAATATAATGGTGTTCGGACAGGGAAGAAGTGTGATAATTATGATCTAAAATGTAACCACAGTTGAGACATATTATTTCAGAACAATTTGTGACTGTTTTCTAGTGTTTCTTGCAATCAGTAATTTGAATGTAATAAAACCAAGAGGAAAGGCAAAAAAGAAATAGCTGATGGAGTAGATGGCTAGCCATAACCTAACCCCACAAAAGCCAAAGCAAGAAATTTCCTAATTTCCTCAGATGGAACCAATATTTGATTCACTAGGCTATTGCACGTGAATAATCAAAAACTGTGTCATGAGTCAAACATGAAAACCATCAGTGCTTTGGAAGAAAGTTTGCTCAAGAGAGAATATCCACAGTCTAACTTAAAAGAGCATCTTACTTCTTATTTAAAGTAGGTGCCTGAGGGCAACACAAGTTTCTTGTACAGCCAAGGGCGCCTTCAGAATCACCCACTGAGGATTGTATGCACTCTACATGGAGCAAAAGCTCCTAAAATAAGCAAAAAAAATTAGACATTTGAATTCATATGACAAAACTATTCCTTCTAGCTAAAGTGTCTAATTTACTCATTACTGAGCTAGCTGTGACCTATGGGAAGTTTGCAGGACTGAGTTACATTTATGCTTTTTGAAGCATACTCCCTAATATCTTACATGAAGAAGTTCTTTCCTGAGCTGTAAATCTTGCAAATAGATGGTCAATATTTCTCTTGGATGAAGCTGTATTTTTACAACCCTTAACTCTTTATCTAAAAATAAACAGCATTTTTTTTATTGCTGTTGAAGATACATATAGATTTGTTTGGTGCCATTCACTGTTCACATACTGAATTTACTGGATGTATAATAAAAGGTTCACTATACATTGAAGTCTTTCCACTGTTCAGAGGTATTCAGAAAAGGAGATACATCAGAAGCACATAGGGAAAAATACACCTCTGCCCATAAGTATAGGTCAAAGTGAGTGTCGCTTGAAAGTTTAAAAAACTTCCAATTCATCTATAACATCCCATTCTGCCTCTTTATGTATCTTGTAATTTTTGAAAATGGTAGGTCATGGATTTCAAGGGATCACAGTAATGAGGAGAAAAAAGTGATTACACCCTGCAGTGTCATTACATGGCAGTGCTCTAGGACTTTTCTAGAGTAGTATGTCTTCTATTTGGCATAATACCTGTAGTCCTACCAACCTATCTGCCAGCTATGAAGTTTAATAAAAAGGATCAACAGTATTACCAGCTTTACTGGTTTTGTCAGGAGTTTCAGGTGCACTTTTGATGTTTAGTTAAATAAAAATGCAAATCCTTGTGGCTTCTGATAATAATCCCTAAGATATGTCTGCTAAAAAAATCCTTGAAGATCTATCTGATAAAAGTAAAATGTCTGCAGCCCATCAGGTAAATTAAAAGAATCCAAATTTAAAAAATCAGAACTTTAAAACTTTTCTCACTCATTCTGGGCCCTGATACCATTTCTGAATATTTGAGATTCTCAGTGTACATGAGTGATGCCAGTTCATTTTTGGAAGTAATTTATTCAATTGATTGTTCTAGCTGAAAATTACTGTATTTTGAGATCACATTAAAAAAAAAAAAGGCACCTTGCAAGAGAACAAATCATGACAGCTAAGAATAAATATCAGGCCTGGTAAAAAATGGACTGAGAAAATTCACTTGATAATTTTGCCCATCCATTATATGTGCCTTATTATAATTATTTGTGGGAGAAAAAGAAAATCCCTAATTTCCACTTCACAAACCTTTCTGTGGAAGAAAAGTTGGTTTACTTGAATTGGAAGTTTTTCAGCAGAAATACATATGAATATATATCCAGAGTATTCTGAGACCAAAATGCTCTCGCTCATTGGTTTTGATGTCATGGAAATATGCTGCCCCTAGGGCCTTTTAGAGAACTGGGCAGTTTTCAACTGGGGTAAAGCCAGTGCTGTCCAGATGGGCACTAGTAATAGGAATAACACTCTGTGATCAGCTGATTTGCAATTAAATATAGGTTTGGCATGAAAACTCAAGCCAGGAAACTTAACAGAACAAAGATACTTTCAGGGATCAACATACCACAGACATGTGCCAGGTTTCATGAAGAAACAGGATGTGATACATTTCCTTAAATATTCTGGGTGGATTCATCTGTACAACATAGACACCTATATCTTAGCTAGTCAACAAGTTCCTTCTTCAGTCAGTGGACTACTCTTCTAGGGTGTGAAAAATTCCCTCTTGAAATAGACATATGAAATAGGCCAGATGAGCTGGGCCCTAAAATTGTCTTTTCTGCTCCACAGACTGTAAAGGGGAGGCTGAGGTGGTGAGCAGATGTAGGTATCTACAGGAGAAGTGTGCAAATTTAGGTGGGATGACTCCCACACAGCATGTCTCAGATCTCTTCAAGGCTGCAAGTGCAACCAGAGGCATGAATGGCATGCATCCAGAAAGAAACTTGTCAAAATGTTATCCAGAAATGCTTTCTAGGATAAAGGGCTGTTAAACAATTCCAGTGTAATAGGGTCACTCTATGTTTGTTACTACAAACAGGGACCTAAAATGTGGCTAGTATGTGGTAAACTTGAAGTACAGCACCACTTAAATTGAGAGATAAGAGAGCCCATAACATATGCATGGACTTACACACCATCCCTACAAGCTACTCTGCCTGTTGTAAATCCATGTACTAATTTACCCTTGTGGTAACTTGCTTGTGCTGCCTTGTTATCAAATACTTCATCCAGGGCAAGCCCAATGAAAATGTGGTGCTTTCTTGTTATGTTTAAGGTGCAGATAGCAATGAAGAAGAAGATGATGATGATGACGATGATGATTACTATTACTTAATTGCTACTATTAACACTGCTGCTAGTGCTTTAACAAATTAGAACTGGGCATTCCCATGTATTAGACACAGCACACCTATACTATAAGGGATGGTAGTTGACACAAATTTTCTGGTGGGATGGGAGAGTATAGTTTGCAGTCTGTCAATAATAGTCCGCAGGACAGCCAAAACTCACGAGTCCTACTTGCAAAGGTAACTATAGCGTCTACAGATGGTCTAGTGGTAAAATTCCATTTTCTTTTGTATATGTGACTACTTAAAAAGGACAAAGAAACTAAAGGTTGTGAGCTAGTCACAACAGCAAAACCTGTAAAGGCCATTGCATCTGGTATGTGGGGCTGGTGAGGCTCAGAAAGGGGTGTCTTTTCTGGACTGGTTACTGTTGGTGAGGCCAGTGATCCTTTGTCCCATGGGTTAGCTTCTCTGCTTCCTTCCTGCCCATTCCCCACTCTTGTCCTCCCTCATAGTAGGAATTCATGGTTGTCTAACCAAAGAAAGCTTTAGTAACGGCCTGCAGGATAATTCAATGGAACATAGAACAAACAACCCAAATTTTTAACTTTAGAAATGTAGCTTTTTCTATATACTTCACACTCAATTTTTTTCAGCCATCTGAAAAAGGATAAGACGTCATTGTTTTCCAGATTCCTCATTTATGACGTTAAGGTCATTCAGAGAATTCACGACTTCAGCAAAGAAACAGGAGATAGAAGTCTCAGTTCCTTGTTCGTAATTTTAGGTTTGGCAGTCCACAAAACTTTAACTACTCCCATTAATGTCTGAGGCACCTTAATTTGTCCACATCACTGAAACTAGTCTGAATGTTGTCTCCTGTTCTAGCTCAGCCATTATTCTTAGTTTACTGCAGACATAAAGTGAAGACAGCTGAGCTAGTCACTACTGGCTCTAAATAGTCAGTGGAAAGAAACAGACACTTTTAGGGTGCAATTCATCTAATCTACTTTATATGTATGCTTTACAATGAGCTGCTTTTTCACTCTAGGCAACTGCATTTAGGCACCCGAGAAAATCTCAAAATTAGATGAGAAAAAAATTACAGAAGACATGAAACAGCACTTGAATTGTTATATAACCTTAAATGCAGAAGATACACTGTCCGAGAAATAAAAATCTTTGAGTATATGCATATAATGTTTCAGATTATGGAGGTGAAAAAAAGAATGAAGGCATCATAATGGTTTGCAGATTTTTACATTAAGTTCCTCCCAGCCTTTAAATATGGCATGTCTGCCCAGTGTTGTGCCCAGTGTTGTGCTGGACTACTCAAGTTCATTAAACCTGAAAGCAACAGTTAATGCTAAATCAAAAATCAAGATTTATTTACTTTTTTTTTTATTTATTTGTCTTAGCCAATAGATTACATTAATTTTAAGGCTAAATCTAGAATTGAGTCCACTACTTAAACTTAGGTGGACATGGCCTTCTTTTAGGGAGCTTCCAAGGACCTGTCTCTTTCCATTTACTGAGTAAGAAACTGGTATGTACTTTAGAAATATGGCTTCACTTCATTTATGGGTGCATAAATGTAAGTTAAGGGATTTATGCAAAGCTAAAAGGGCTTCCAGTCAGAGACATCATTTGAACATGTTTGAACTGGTTCCATCAGTAATATGATAGCCCTGGGAAAGCATTTACCCTTGAGGAAAACACAGGTATTCTACTTCCCTGGGACACCCATACCCTATCTGTGTGTGTTGTCTCCTACATCCCACCAAGGGATGAAAATTGACTATGAAAATCACTGCAGCCATCACATTTGTGAGTCACTTACATTTTTGTGTAGGCATGTTTCATACAGCATGTCCTAGAAGGCAAACCACACATATATAATGCAAAGAGACAAGCAATCTGTTGGAGTGGGGCAGCTGTTTCATGACAGTGATAACTGACAGCTCAGGCCCTGTACAAAAGTAGTTCCACAGATCTCAAGAGGATATGTATAAAATGCTTAAGAGGAGGCACTTCCTCCATGTTTCTGTGACTTAGTTCTCTCCTGGACTTGATGAAATCCAAGATCTGCCTCGGTTAATTAGCTTTGTGCATTCTCGGAAATTTCTGCTCTTGGGCCCAAGCAGCATGGATATCTGCCTAGATAGTAACCACTCCTCCCTTCCTGTGCTTCTCCTCCTTTCATCTTATATTTCCTTCCCCTTTCTTTATTGTCTTTGCTCCTTTTCTTCCTTTTGAGGTCCCACAGGGAGAGGAGAAACCAAGAATGAGATCTTTGCACTAATTCCAGCAGGGAATTAAATAGAGAACAAGGTATTAACAGGTCAGATGAGAAAGCTCAGAATAGGAAATGAGACATGGGGTACTGCAGGTAGAGTAACAAGAGAGACTGGAAAGAAGAGAGAGACGTAGGAAGTGGACAAAGTGAAAGGAGAATTAACTGGAAATGGGTCTGAAAGTACTGTGAATGAAAGACAGAAGATAAGTGTTAAACAAGGAACAAAAGTGACAGAACCTGAGAAAAATATATTAAGGATGTTTCTGTGAGTACTGCATTTTGCTCAACTGGAAATACGTCTCCAAATAACCAAGGAAAATATGAGGAAAGGTTTGCTGGTTTTGCAGCATATTTTTTTTTTTCATGGTGAGAGAATAGGTGAGACATAGTTCTGGGAGGAGGATTCTAGTGATTGGATGGTTTATATGGAGTAGGAAAATACACAGACAGTATTTCATGTGTATTTACAATCTTGCCACTAGATTTTTGAATATTTTTACATACATTAATGTGTGTGATGTGGCTGTGGAGTTCATAGTTTAATTCTAAACGTGTGTATTGACCAAAACATGTAAAAATGTCAACCCTGGTAGAAAAGCAGAGCAGAGAAAGAAGCTTTGTTGTGTCTGTTGAGCTTTCTGCAGAGGTGAAAGCAGAAGGTGTCACAGCACTGGCAGCTTAATTGTAGTTTGGCTAGGGCTTGTCTACATGTGGAAATTTTCAGTGCTAGCTTTCCAGATGACTAGTTTGGCCTCAGTGTTTTGTACCATGAGTAATTCAGTTTAGTCCATTTTGGAGGTGAATTGAAAGAAATCGTATAAAGGCAGCAGTAGCAGTGAGTAATTCACTTAGAGTGTGAGGCAAAGGAAGTGCGAGAGTGAACAACTGGTTTCTTTTAAAAATCTACCCTCAAACTGATTTTGTAATAGCTTCCCTGTGTAGAGAAGCCTTTAGTTCCCTTGCAGTGCTGGGAGCCCACATCAAGACTTATACACTAAGCAAGCATTACTATGGAGGCAGAGTTGCATAAAACTTCAAGCATGCTGTGAGCCTTGCAAGGTGCTCCACTCATCTCTAATTTGAGGAAAATGTAACAGGGTTATTTCTTTCTTCATTTTTGTTTCAAATGCTTTAATCTGCCCCAAAATCCACTGCCACTGGCATTTCACAGCATGCCAGGAGGAGGATCCTTGGGCCATTCTCTACCATTTTTTTTTTCATGCATCTCCACACAGCCTCCTTGTGTTGGTTTGGCTGGGAAAAGGTGTGGGTGTGTGTAGTGATGGAGTGCCACCCTAAATCATAAAGTAGCCCTTACCTCTGGGCTGGAGTAATGCGAGGGCTTGCTGCCGTCACTCTCGCTAGAGCTGCTTTCGCTCTCTGAGTCAGACTCTGAGCTGGTCTCGGATTCACTGGAGCTGCTGCTGCTCGACCCCTTGCTGGAGAGTCCTGGGGCTCGGGCATTGGACTGAGGCACCACCAGGCTGCCAGCCCAACACACAGCCCGCAGGGGTGTGGGGACAGGGGAGGGAAGAGAAGAAAACAGGAACTTAAACATAAAACCCCACATATAAGAACCATGCTATTTTAGGGAGCATACTCTTTGAATGCCTGTGAGCTTGTCTCTGCTGCTAATAAATAGTGAAACGACTTCAACATTACATTGCTATAACTGGGGGGAAAATATGGGGTTACTCTCATATCCATTTAAATCCATAGCCTTTGCCATCTTTTTCACCTGGGGGAGAGTCAAGTTTTCACTTCACCTTGTCTATTTTCCCATTCCACAGATATTTTAGGATATATTAAAAGTACTAAGTGTTAAAAAGCAGTATAGGAAGCAGTTTTATGCTGTCTAATGAACACTCAGCCCAGAGGTGAAAGCAGGAGACCAAAAAGGTGAGCAATTAAGAAACAGAGTTGAACCCCACACTACCAGTCATAAGTAGTAATAGCAATAACCATAAAAATAACAATAATGATACATCTTCACTGGAGCTTACAGCCCCATCTTCCATATTGCACACTTCTTTACCTACCCATAAATGATATGGTTACCTGCATATACCATCCTGATATTGACAATTCAAGATCTAAGACTCAGCCTGCAAAAACTTGAAGAGCTTAGGCTTGTGTTTTTGCATGTCAGCAGTGCAGTGCTGTCAGCAGAGCTACTTGCCTTCTTTAAAGTTATGTTTGCATGCAAGTATTTGTATTATCAGGCTTGACAGCAGAAGAAATGTGTATTTTCCTGAAACAGTTGACCATACATATTAAAAATATCACAGTGATAAAGACCTGAGTGTGAAATATCATGTTAAGTCATCCAGCTTATTCCCTAGGTAATGCAATATTGTTCCCTATAGCAGAGTGCATTTTCTAGTGAGTTGTCCAATTTGATTTTAAATGACTTGAATGCAGCTTTTACTTTTACCCCTGGGAAACTTCTCTGCAAACTAACCCAAATTCCACTGTCAGAAATTTCTTCCTACATTCAACCAGAAGTTGCCCTTTTAGAATTTATAGTTGTTACTTATTATTTCATCGTATTACTAATAGTTACTATGATAAATTATCCTCCCTTTTTACTCTCACATTTTTGCAGATTGCTTTCCTGTCTTTCTTCAGCCATCTTTCAGACAAGGCCTTACACATTTGCTTCTTCTGATCTTTCTTCATAAGTCATTATCTCCAGGGATATGGGATCATTTTTATGGCTTTTTTCTGAACTCATTCCAATTTGTCTATATCTCTCTGATAACAGGGTGCCCAAAACAGAGTGCAGCATTATAGATGGCTTCTCACTATAGCCCTGCAGTGAAGGGCTATTACCTTTCTGCTCCTTGATGCGTTGCTTCTGTAAACATATATCCGAGCTGTGAGGGAATGTATAGTCCATTAACATCCCTACCTCTCTTTCAACACTGCTTTCTTCAGAATTCCTCTACTGATAGCTACATGATTATTTGCTACAGAGAGATTAGCTCACTTTTTTTCTTCATACCAGATCTCATTTTCCTTTTTTACCTTGTAAGCTTCTAGCTCCTTTTGATTTATTTTGCTGCCCTCAGAGGTGTTGGCAGCAACTTCTAATTTAGTACCAAATGCAAACTTAATTAAATGGTTATTCACTTCCTTTTCCAGATCATTAATGAGACTGTTAAATAAACCCCATGTGAAACACACTGGTACCCAGATAACCATCTCTCCCAATTCCATTCACCGGTGTTTATCATTACCCTTGTTTATGCTCCATCAGTCCAATATTGTGGCTAATGCAATGTGATCTTGGAGATGCATTTTGTGAGAAATAATATCTAATAATTAATTACAGTTCTGCTATGTTTCGCCTAATGAATTTTCTTTATGTGGTAATGGTGTTTTTCATTATGGAAAACTGATACCTGACACCTTGCACAAGCCACATATGAGAGGCAATTCCTGAGGCTGTGAAAAAGGGCCAGGCCATCAGAGAGGCAGTTTCAACTTCTGAATTCCCCATGGCTGCACACTTTCTGGCCCTCTCCCTGCCTCCCCTAACATTTGCCAGCCTTTCCCCTCTGGACCACTTGTCTTGCACAAACCAGTACTCTCACCACATTGCCTTGCAGCATCCATGCTACCTTTTGCTGGGAAGTGGCACAGCTGCCTGTGGCTTTCTTGCTCCAGAGAGTTTGTGGTGGCCTGGGGAATCCTGACACTGTTGGAGAGCTTTCTACACCCTTCAAAGCACTGTGGGACCAGGCAGTGGACAAAAATCTCAGCTGTGATTTCACCCTACTAATTAAAAGCAAGTAAAATAAACAGGAGAGGGAGGAGCTGACATCTATTTATATTTTTGATTTTTATTTCCATCCTTGTAACTACTACTGGACAGTAGAGAGAGAGGTGGCAGTAAAAGCTTGTGCTCTGTCAGGATGGCTTGGTGCCACCAGCGTGGTCACAGAAGTGTCTGCCAACTACTGGGTGGCAAGAGGTCTGTCTTCATGCACAGGCATTAAATGTATCAGTTACAAGGAGTGTCTTTAAGAACCTGTTTTTTTGTCTAGCCATGTAGGTGCAGTAAAGACAAGATTTTCAGGCAGCCATTTGTATAACTTCATTAAGGCACAGAGGTGACAGAAACAGCTGGTAAGATTGTAAAAAAAAATTCCTTCTCGGAGAAGCAAAATGGATATCTTGTAAACAGTTTCAGGACAATGCAGCTTTCCTGACTTGTACAGGCTGCCCAGTGAACTCTAGATTTAAGTTGCTCACTTACATTAACAGATTGCAGTTAATCCCTTGCTACTAAAATAGTGAGAGCTATATACAAGCCATTATGAGTAGGTTTTGTGGTTTTGATTTTTTTTTCTTCAAGAAAATGTGGAAAGAATATGAAAAGTTAACTGCCTTTTCAGACAGCATAGCTTAGGGAATGCCTTTGACAGTGTCTGACTGATGGATTTCCAGTCCTCTCCACAGCAGCATTGTGACTGAAAAGTTCTTGAACATCACAAAACATCTGCACATTTATGTCCTGCCCTTAGTGACTGTGGTTTTAATTTTTAAACCATCGTTTTTATTTGTCATTGACTGAAATATTTAGAAATTGCTATATAGGGGATGAGGGGGAAAAAGCCCATTGTAATATTTCTTTCCTTTTGTGAAAGGAAATGTTTTTCTAGGCTGCTGAACAGAAATTGTTACTACAGCCCTAGATATAAAATATAACTGTTGGACTCTTCACAAACATCTGGAAATCTATGTTTGCTGTTCTAATGGTAGCCAATATACTAAAAAAATTAAACATTACAATATTTTCCCATTTATGCTGATACTGCTGAAGTCTCCTATCCCCCTTCTACTTTTTGAAATTTGAAATATAGCATATCCTTATAAGGATCCTCATTATGTTATAGTGACCAGGGTAATAACAGTTACATCTGTCTTCATGCATTCTTATTAAAAACAACCTTTTTAAAAAATTGGTAACTTTTATTTTGGACTGCTCTTTCTAAAGGATGTAAGCCAGATCATGCAGTTAGACTGATCTACATTTTAATGATTGTGGGACATAACATTTGAGCGTATTTTGCTACTGGTTTATGTCCCAGAGTTAATTACCACATCAGAGAATTTCTATTTTTATTTTAAGGAATTAAATGACATTTGGGTGAGACCCATTTTTCTTTAAAGCTCTTAATCAGAACTTGCACTCTCTGACTTAAGAGAGAGACTAAATACCTTGTAAATTTGCCAGAAGTTCAGCAATAAGACCATTTAAAAATCAGCACACCATCTGAAGTTTCTGATCAAATATCTCCCATTACCCTGGCTACAGGGGACCTGGGCACCTAATTTCCATGCAGGTCTCCAATAGCCTGTTTTCCTGTACTGTCTAGTGGACATCTGACGTTTTTTAAAAGAACTGCTAGATTCGTTGTAGCCGCAATTTTTCTCATATGTGCAGGTTCAGAAATCCAGTGATTTGGGGAGATTAATACTTCTTCCCCACTTAAACTAACTTGTGATCCAAGTTGAGAGGTGGAGCCATCTCAATCCCTGGACAAGGCCTAGAGGTTATTTGTGTGGGACAAGTTGTTAGCCCCATGAGGCTGCATGGCCATAGCCAGACTTTGAATGGCACCAAGGTGGTTTGAACAGTTATGCAGGAAGGTGCTAGAGCTGGTTATTCAGTCAGTGGAGACAGATTCCCAAATGAGATTACTTTGGTGGCCCTCAGGAGACCTCTTCAGGTTAATCATGCAGGATCTGAGTCCCACTCTATGCTTCATATTAAGCTGCTGCTTACAGCTGCACTACTTCCCATGGTAATAAATAAAGGCATTCAGCACTGGCCACAAGAATTTCCCAGGCTAGGCATATGCTGCATTGCAGGAATTCATGCTCAGAGACATGCAGCATGGATAAAAATACAAGTAAAACTGAAGCAGTTCTTTACCAAACTGCAAGTATTCAGTGACAATATAAAGAGGAAAATCCCTCTGATGCTGCAGAATTTGTGGTCCCAGCTACTCACTGCATTACAATATGAAGGCACTTTATACCTCTTTACACAGGCATGAATGATTATCAAGAAGAGCAATGCAAGGGAGAATCAGGCCTTGGAGAAATGACTCAGCTAAAGGAACATATCTCAAATACTTTTCCACAACAAAGGCTACACAAATGCTCATAGAATCATAGAATCATGAAGGTTGGAAAAGACCTCCAAGATCACCAAGTCCAACCCTTGACCAAATACCACCAGGCACATGAAACCATATTGCAAAATGCCATGTCTGCTCATTTTTTGAACACTTTAGGTATAGTGACTCTACCACTTCCCTTTACCACTCTTTCAGTGAAGCATTTTTCCTAATATCCAACAAGAACATCTCTTCGCCCAACTTGAGGCCATTTCCTCTTGTCCTTCCTTGGTTGCATGGAAGACAAGGCTGACACCCACCTCCCCACAACTTCCTTTAAAGTAGTTGTAGAG